TGCGTGCGTGACCAAGATCCCGAGAGGAGAATGGAGAAGGGATTGCGGTGTGGCCATCCCCTCTGGGGGGGTGATTTCTTGCTTTTTGTCTCTCTGTCTGTCTCTCTCTGTCTGGCGAGCGCACGTGCCCTATAGCAAAAACCTTTCCAAAAAAAAAAAAAAAGTAACAAGACCAGTCACAGACTGAAAAAATATTGCCAGCAGATGTGGTGGTTAAGGTGTTGGATACTGCCACATGACTGACTGCAGTTCGAGTCCTAGACCTCGTGGTTTGTTTTCTGGGGCCAGCGCCTGGTATAGTGGTTACATTGCTGGACTCCCACATGACTGGCTGTGGGTCAAGTGCTGGACCTGGTGACTTAACACTCATGCCACGGGACCAGCAGATGACATAATGGTTATGTTGCTGGACTGTCAGGTAGTTAACCATGGTTCGAGTCCTGGACTGGGCAGCTTAAACTCACACTGGGCGCGTGTGTGTGTGTGTGTGTGTGTGTGTGTATATGCCGAGCCGAAGATCCCGAGAGGAGAATGTAGGAGAAGGGATTGTGGCGTGGCCCTCCCCCAGGGGGTGATTTCTTGCTTTCTGTCTCTCTGGTGAGCGCATGTACCTTATAGCAAAAATCTCTTTAAAAACAAAACAAAACAAAAACTTATAGCGGGCACATGTTTGTGTGTGCCTAGATCCCAGGAGGAGGACCGAGGAAAAGGGATTGCTTACGACCTGGCCATCTTCCCTGGGGGTAATTTCTCGCTTTTTGTCTTTCTGTCTGTCTCTCTGATGAGCATGCGCACCCTATAGCAAAAATCTCTTCTCTCCCAAAAGACTAATAACCCAGGAAAATTTGGTAATTTGTAATAGAGAACAAAAAATCTAGTTTTGTGTAAGTGTAGTATTTGCGACTAAAACACTTCTTGAAAAATCTTTTAAATAAACTCATGAAATCTTACCTAGCTTTGACCATGACAGATAAAGTTCATTTTTCATGAATGTTTTATAACTTTCCTTGTCAAATAAAGTTTTATTCTACATTTCCCTTTTTCTCATTAATTTGTAACAGTTATTTATTTTTTTTAAGAGAGACTTTTTGCTATAGGGCACGTGTGCTTGCTGGAGAGACAATAAATGAGAAATCCCTAGGGGGGATGGCCACTCCTCAGTCCCTTCTCCATTCTCCTTTTGTTATTTTAGGCACATATGCATATGCTCCTGGCATGAGTTTCAAGCCGCCTGGTCCAGGGCTCAGACTGGTCAGCCATGTGGGAGTCCAGTGATGTAACCATTATGCCATCTGCTGATCCCACAATCATGTTACTTGAGGACAAAACTGTTTTAATTTTTTCCTTAACAAAAACACATCTGCATACCTTGCATACTAAGTTGTTCCTTTCTGTCATTATTTCTCCTACTGGAGGCTTATTTACATATAAGGTTTTAACTTAGTCTAATTAGAGTAACTGCCATTTTACAGAGAAAAACTATAATGAATAATTGTGAAACTATTTGTCATATTTTAGCATTTTGTAATAGGCTAGCAGAGCTTATGAATATACATATTACAGAGTTTTATAGCAGTACACTTTCTGAAAGTATAACTTCTCAATGTGACAAAAATGAGTATGCTCATTAATAGACCCAAGTATATATAGCTTCTCTACCAGAAAAACAAGAGTCAAAACTATATAAACTTGAAGTTATGTTTCAGTGTTCTTTTTTTTAAAAATAAAAGAATTATTTTATTTAACTTATTTATGTTTAAATTTTACCAGAGAGGGACATAGTTGGGGGGGAGTAAGAAAACAAATCACCAGGTTTGGGACTTGAACCACGTGGAAGGAAGTCCAGCACTCTTGACCACCATGCCACCTGCTGGTCCTCAGTGTTCTCTTAAAAACTGAGGAATGATCTAGGTATTTAATGACTACTATGATTAACTTAGTGTAAATCTAAGGTTTTTTTTCTTTTAAGAATTATTTATTTTATTTTATTTATTCATTCATTTTATTTTTTTAAATTTGACCAGAGAGAGACACAGAGAGAGAGAGAGAGAGAAAGTGAGAAAGCAAGCCACCAGGTCTGGGACTCAAACCGTGGCTGGCCATGTGGGAGTGTCCAGTGCCTTAACCACCACGCCACCTGCTGGTCCCAAATCTAAGGTTTTTAGTTAGCAAGATTTTGGGGAAATATCTTCAAGTTGTCTTATTACAAAACACGATTACTAGTGGAAGAAAGTTTGTTAGATTAATGATTTAATTTGGCCGAATACAAATGCATATGTAATGCTATTTTATTAGACCAGTAAACTCATAAAACATTGGAAGAACATAGCCAAGTAGGGTTAAAACATGCTTGTGTTAATAGTTAGTGCTGGTAACTTAGAAGACCTAGCTCTTTTAATGAAACTAACAATAAATGAGTCTTATTTGTCAATGGTATTCTTAAAATAACTTAAACTTGGATTGTTAAAACATTTGGATTAGTATCTTTAAAGATACTTTTGAAAGTATAAGAAGTTGGGCCAGCAAGGTGATGTGGTGGTTAAGGTAGCTGGCTTCTATATGGCCCACTTTGTGGTTTGAGTTCTAGTCCCAGTGACTTGAAAAACGCCCAGTGCATTTGCATGTGTGTCCCAAATCCCAAGAGAATAAAGAAGGGATCGTTTCATGGTTACCCCCTCCCCCCCGGGGGGGGTGCTTTCTCATGTTCTCTCTCTGTCTCCGGTGAGTGTGTGTATCTTTTTACTAATTTAAAAAAAATAGTATAAGAAGTTTAATTTTCTTCTCAAATCATTTTTTTTTCTTTTTTGGAGAGTTTTTTTTGCTATAGGGCGCATGCACTCGTCAGAGAGAGAGAGAGAGATAGAAAGCGAGAACTTACCTCCCAGGGGGGATGGCCATGCTGCAATCCCTTCTCCTTCATTCTTCTCTCTGGATCTTGGGCACGCATGCACACGCACCCAGCGTGAGTTTAAGAAGCCATCGGGTCCGGGACTTGAACCGCTGTCAATTTCATTGGAATCCAGCGACATAACCATTATGCCACTGCTGGTCCCAACTTCTCAAATCTTGAAAATGTTTAATTTATATGAGCACTTATTTATCTTTAAACCAATTAGAGTTATTTTAAGAGATTTTATAATCTAATTTATAATGTGTTTGAGGGTAGTAAGTTTATACATATTATATATAATAAAACATACATACATATATTTATATGTACACACAAACTTATAGACAGCTTATACTTCGCTTTGAAAGTTTCAGCTCACTGGAGTTTGTTTAAAAGAGCCAATTCTTGTCACTCCCACCTTAACATTTTTACCAGGTTGTGTTTATGGCAGATGGGATAACTCGTGGTCATCTGCTCAGTCAGTACAAGACCTGAAGTGTCCTGCCACCATCAGTGTGTGTGGAAGAGAGCTATAAGATTTCCTTTGCCTATGTAATTTTATGGAGACTGAACTGAATTTGAGTGAAGCCCTAAAGAGAGATGGAGTCCATCTGAGTGGATGAAAGATCCAGCCTGTTTCCAGCTTCATGAATCCCCAGTGGGGAATGGGGACTAAAGCTTGAGTGACCAGAGATACTGCTGAGAGGTTGGACTGGGAAGGGAAAGGTCTGACAAGGATGGATAAAGGGATTGAGGAGGTCAGAGTATTGAAGGGTAATAGATGCAGAGTCAAGCTAGAGGAAAAGAAGGTTGAAGGTAGTAAAAAGGAGGAAAGGAGAGTGAATGATAATGGGAAGTGAGAAGCTTTAGCTGAGCCAGCTTGAGGGCATCTCAACTTTCTTAAGGAGTAAAATCGTTTTTAGTAAATCCTGTCCCTTTTGAAGATAATTGACCTGAATTACAGTTGACCTTTGAATAACATGGGTTAGAAATGCTGACTGTTCCCCATCCCCAGTAGAAAATCTGCATGGAACTTAAAAAAAATTTTTTTTTTAAACTGATAGTGTATATGAATACTCAAGAGAGAGAGAGAGATCATGAGATCATCACCACATTATGCCCTATCCCTGGTGCTCTCGTTCCTCGGGATCCCAGGCACCTGTGCACCCAGTGTGTTTTTCAGGCCAGCCTGGGGATCCAAACACGTGATCAGCCATGCGGCTTCCAGCACTGTATCTAGTATGTTATGGATTGTGCTATCTAGGCTAGGTTTTGTGTATAGCTTTTGATTCCCCAAGACAAAACTAATAGCCTGCTGCTGTTGCCTTACCAGTTGTAAACAGTTAACACATATTTTTTATGTTGTATGTATTATATGTTGTATTCTTAGAATATAATAAGCTAGAGAAAAAAATTAAAATAATCAAGAAAATATATTTACAGAAGTACTATATTTTAAAATAATTATTTATTTGATTTATTATTATTATTTTTTAATTTGACCAGAGAGAGAGAGGGAAAGTGAAAAAGCAAACTGCCAGGTCTGGCACTCAAACCACGGTCGGCCATGTGGGAGTCCAGTGCCCTAACCAGCATGCCGCCTGCCATCGCTATATTGTATTTTTTAATGTATTTGTTGAGACAACTCTCCATATAAGCGTGAACCTGTGTAGTTCAACCTGTGTTCAAGGGCTAGCTGTAGTGCCGTAATGGTGAAGCACATAGTGGAAGAAGGTGAGGGGCATTTGCAAGAGTGATAGGTACCTATAGGAATAAGTAAGTAAATTAGGCATAAAAACTCAAAGGAGCTAGGAGTGTATTCTTTAGTGAGGAGCCAAGGAAGTTCCTTCTTGTAATCCCTCCTACAGGGTCAAGAGGAAGCAGAAGCATCACATTAATTTGACCAGAGAGAGAGAGGGAAAGTGAAAAAGCAAACTGCCAGGTCTGGCACTCAAACCACGGTCGGCCATGTGGGAGTCCAGTGCCCTAACCAGCATGCCGCCTGCCATCGCTATATTGTATTTTTTAATGTATTTGTTGAGACAACTCTCCATATAAGCGTGAACCTGTGTAGTTCAACCTGTGTTCAAGGGCTAGCTGTAGTGCCGTAATGGTGAAGCACATAGTGGAAGAAGGTGAGGGGCATTTGCAAGAGTGATAGGTACCTATAGGAATAAGTAAGTAAATTAGGCATAAAAACTCAAAGGAGCTAGGAGTGTATTCTTTAGTGAGGAGCCAAGGAAGTTCCTTCTTGTAATCCCTCCTACAGGGTCAAGAGGAAGCAGAAGCATCACAGAGTAGCCAGGAATATTCCTACTCAAGAGTCAGGGAGTTGTTCTCTACTCAAAGAGCCATGGAAGAGGGTGAAAGTAACTTCTTACTGTGCTGCAGCTGACAAGATGTGTGGAGCATTATTAGTTCAAGAGTTGAACTCAAGAAAAGATCCCTTAGTCTCTGAACTGATGGAGGTTTCAGATGATACACAACAGTGCCATTATTGAGTTGGAGATGCCACAGGTTATAGGCGAAGTCTAATCCGTATCCAAGCCATTGTCACCATACACATGCCAAAGAAAATAAATCTTGCCTTTGGTAGGGGAGAGACTTTATTTGGAAAGAATATCGCAGTAGAGCGAATGTTCTGACCACAAGATTTGCAGGTGTCTCAATATCAAATGCAAGAGGGCTTTTATAGATAGAAGTATTGTCGGTGGATCTTTGTGAGAGAGTGGGATAAGTGGCTGGGAGCTAGCAAAAGTTTTGGTCTGTTTTTCTGTTGCTAAAAATCGAATACCAAGAGTAGGTAATTTATATAAAAAAAAGTAAAGGGTTACTCAGCTTGCAGTTTTGGAGGTTCTAGATGAAGAGGCCCTATCTGGTGAAGACCTTGTTAGTAGGGACTCTCTGCAGAGACCTGAGGTGGCATAGGGTATAAGATGGTGAGAAGGCAAGAGCTGCCTGTCTTTCAGTTCTGGTCGCTCTCCTTCTTCCTCCTCCTCTTTGTTTGAAAAGTTTCATTCTTTCTTCCATAACAGAGAGAGAGAGAGAGAGACAGGCAGGCAGGCAGGCGGGCAACCTTAGTGGATCTTCACACCTTAGTCCACCCTAATAACTTCAACCAACCAGATTCCATTTCCTTCTAGCATGTACAGGGAGACTGGGGCAGCACATCAAGACCTTTCCATGTGGCCTCAGCACTGCAGAATGTGTGTACCACCAGGGCTGGTTTCCCTCTTGTTATGAAGCCACCAGAAGTCAAGCATGGGTTATCTACCCTGATGATTTGCTCTAATCCTAATCACCTTCCAAAAAATCCCACCTCTTAATACTATAGTTGGATTAAGTTTCTACCCTCTTTATACCATTATAATTACAGCTAAATTTCTAACACATGAACTTTTGGGAGTAAGCATTCAAACCAGCAAAAACCAGGGCAACTTTTTTTTTTTTCCTAGAGGTTTTTGCTATAGGGCGCGTGTGCTCGCCAGAAAGACAGAGAAAGACAGAGAGATAGAAAGCGAGAAATCACCCCCCAGGGGGGATGGCCACGCCACAGTCCCTTCTCCTCCATTCTCCTCTTGGGATCTTGGGCACTCATGCACATGTGCCCGGTGTGAGTTTAGGCCACCAGGTCTGGGACTTGAACTGTGGTCTACTACGAGGGAGTTCAGCGACATAGCCAGTACGCTAACTGCTGGTCCCAACCAGGGCAACTTTAAGAGAGATTTTTTTTTCCCCTACGGTCATCTGATTTCTGAATGGATTGATAAGAAAGGACATTTTGTATTAGCTTTAAGCTTAGGGATAGCCGAGGTTGAAGTGTTTGTGGGAAGGAGAGAAGCCTGACTGAACTTTGATCAAGCTAAGTCAGTGTTGGTAAGTAATAGGCTTTTGTGAGCTCTTGGTCATTACTTAAATGTAAAATCCTTTGGGTTTATGGTAGTGACAGTATAGTAGAAAGTATTCAAGCATCAGAAGACTGGTTGGGGCCCAGCCGTGGCGTGCAGGCAGTAGGGTGCTGCTCATGACACTGGAGCGACATGGGAAAGCCCCAGGTTTGGAACCCCACGTCCCCTTGAACATGCTTGGTGCACCATTAATTGAACTGGCTGGAAGATTGGGGAGGGGGATTACAGTGTGATGAGACCCTGTCAGGTGACTGACTTTCTCTCCCTCCGCCACCTCTTTTCTCATGAAGGAAATACTTAAGTAAACTTAAAACTAAAAGACAGGTGTTTAGGCAGGATGAACTCTAGGATTTCCTTTGATTTTTCAGTTTCTCCTTTGTATTTTTTGATTGCTAGAGGGCACATGTGCTCACGAGAGGAAGAGACAGAGAGAGAGAGCGAGAGAGAGCGCAAGCATGTACACGAGAGAGTGAGCATGGCATCCGACATGTTTTTTAAGCTGTTGGGGCTTGGGTTTGAGCCACGGTTGGCTCTATGGGATCTAGCTCCCTTAACTGCTGCACTGTGGGGCCAGCCCAGTTGGCCTTTTCAGAATGTTCAGGTTTATGTACAGTACTTCTGAAATCATCAATTATAGCCAGTACCGGTAAATTTAAAAAGATGAACTCCTCCCTCATCACCCTTTTTTGTTTGATTTCTTTTGCCTTTTTTTTTTTGTTTGTTTATGTGTTTTTTTGGTACTCAGACGACTTGTGAGGCCTTAAATGACCAGAAAGTTTATTTGGACTTTGTAGAACAAAAACACTCAGTAGAAATATTAGCGTTTGCAAGTCATGAAAGATTTGGCTGTTACCAAGTGCCATGCACAGATTTGGTATACAATTTCCAAGGGTGGGTAGGGCCATAAAGATGCCCAATAAACATTAGATGATTATAATGCTTGGATTTTAAATTGTAAATGTTCTAGGACTTTTTTTTCTTAATTATTTTCCCCTTTATTCATGATAGAGCTCATGTGCACACACGTGAGAGAGAGAGAGAGAGAGGGAGGGAGGAGTGCCCTCCATAGGGTCTGGTCACGCTGGGATCCCCTTCCTTAGCTCCTCTAGCCATCAGCTCTTGGGCACTCATGTGCGTTCCTGGTGTGTTTTAGGCCAGCTTGGTCAGAAATTCAAACCACAGTTGCCATGTGGGATCCAGGGTCACTGGAGCAGAGCATTACTGTTGTGCCACAGAGCCAGACCCACCCCTTTTAAAAGTTTCTTTCTCGTTCGTGATAGAGAGGAAGAGAGGGAGCAGACAGAGTGGCCCTCTTGACAGGGACTTATGCCTCAATCCCCCTGCTACCTCACTTTCCAGCCAGCCAGGATTATGGGTGTCTAAGTGCCCGGCATATGCAGGCCCACCTCATATCTGACCCCCAGGGTCTAGAGTGGCACCCTGCTGCCTGTGTCACCATGGCTGGCTTTCAGTCCTGCACAGCACTTAGCATCACCCCCTTCACTAACAGGGATCTTTCTTCTGATGTTTATACTTGGAACGTGGTGTGAGTGGCTCAGCGAAAGGTGATGCAGTGGGGACGGATAAAATCCGTGGGTCGTGTGATGGCCTGAAACAAGTGAAACGTTTATCTGTAAGGGAACCGTAGGAATTTGCCATAGCTGCAGCAGAGACATAGAATAAGCAGAAAGGACTCTTAGTCACTTTGTTTTTTTAAATTTAAATACGATCTCCCCATTTGCCTTTGACTTAAGAAACTTGGATCAAGTTTAGAGGAAAGTTCGTGCTGTACTTACAGATGGACCTTGTGTACGTTTTTGGCTGTTTGGTAGGCACAGTCTGTAACTGGTTTAAAAATCACTTTTCCTTTACATTTTTGATTTTTTTAACTTTGTGGAATTATAGAGTAATTTACCTAGAAACAGAGTGATTACTTTTAAATGGTACTTCATCTTTGCTTTGGATGACAGTTTTAGACCTTGAATAAGTAATTATGAGAGAGGACCATGCAGATTATTACAATCTAAGTCTGATCTTGTTTTTATTGCCTCATTCCTGTTCTTAATTCTAGCTTCTAGGTCTGTGCTATCTAATTCTACATTAGCCATATTTGCCTATTTATTTTTAAGATTTAAAAAAATGTGTTATAGGTTGTGTGTGCCCCCTTGAGAGAGGGAGAGAAGGTGAGAGGAAATGAGAAAAATCACAAGAGAATGGGAGGGGAAGGAATAATGGGTTAGCCATTCCCCCTGGGGAGTGATTTTTTGCTTTTCCTCTGTTTCTCTGGTGAGTGCATATGTACGATGTCAAAAATCTAAAAAAAAAATAAAAAAAAAAAATTAAAAGTTCAATTTCTTAGTCATCTAGCTAAGTGAGAAAACAGGCTGCCGGGTCCGGGACTTGAACCATGGTCTAGTGCCCTTAACCTTCATACTACCTGCCAGCCCCAATCTAGCTACATTTTATTTCATTTTCGGAGTGGTTTTTGCTATAGGGTGTGTGCGTTCACCAGACAGACAGACAGAGACAAGAGAGAGAAAGCGAGAAATCACCTCCAGGGGGAATGGCCACGCCACAGTCCTTTCTCTTCCATTCTCCTCTCGGGATCTTGGGCACATACACACATGCACCTGGCATGAGTTTAAGCCTCCGGGTCTGGGACTCGAACCATAGTCAACTACTTGGGAGTGCAGCAACATAGCCATTTTGCCAACTGCTGGTCCCTACATTTTAAATACTTCATAAACTACATGTAATTGGCGGCTACTGTATTGCACAGTGGCAAGAACAACATCATCACAAAAAATTTTGTAGGATGGTGCTGCTCTAGGTTTTTAATTTGCACTTAATGTTGAGGAATTAAATTCAGAAGCTTGAAGTAGATATTTAAAGAACAACCCCAAAACATAGAACTGAAGCTACTTTAGGGCCGGCAAGTGGCGTGGTGGTTAAGGGCACTGGACTCCTACATGGCCGACCATGGTTTGAGTGCTGAACCTGGTGGCTTGCTTTCTCACTTTTCCTCTCTCTGGTCAAATTAAAATAAATAAATAAATAAAGTTAAATAAAATAATTATTTAAAGTTAAATGATACATCTTTTTTATTAAATTTTTAATTTTTTGTAGAGAGGTTTTTACTATGGAGTGCGTGTGGTCCCTAGAGAGACAGAGAGAAACAGAGAGACACAAAGTGAGAAATCACCCTCCACAGAAGAGATGGCCATGCTGCAATCCCTTCTCCTCCATTCTCCTCTTGAAATTTTGGGCACGTAGTGTGAGTTTTAAGCTGCCGGGTCTGGGACTCGAACCAGGTCGACTGTGTGGGAGTCCAGTGATGTAACCATTATGCCTGCTGATCCTGATGTTATTTTTTCAAGATAGGTTTTATATTTAGTTTTGGTATTATATCTTGTAAAAGGTCATTCTAATAATGTTTAATAATATAGAACACAATGAAGTAGTTATATGAAGAACTAACTCTACCAGACTGTTTGACAGTTTTATTAAAATGTAGTTGATATATAATAAACGGCAGTTATATTAAGTGTAAGATTTAATAAGTTTTGACATGTGTACACTTCTGTAACCATCATCATAATTGAGATTGCCCATCACTTACGGAAGTTTCCTCATGTGCCTTTATAATTCCTCCCTCTCATTATTTTCTACCCCTTCTTCCTATCTCAGTGTAACTTTTGACGTGATTTCTGTCATAATAGATGGTATTTTCTAAAACTGTGTATAGCTAGAAGTCATGTAATAGTACATACTCCTTATTAGTTTTCATTTCTGCATTCTTTTGAGACTCATTCTTTTTTTTTTTTTTTTGGAGAGTTTTTTTTTTGCTATAGGGCGTGTGCGCTCGCCAGACAGAGAGAGACATAGAGACAGAAAGTGAGAAATCACCCCCCAGGGGGGATGGCCACACCGCAATTCCTTCTCCTCCATTCTCCTCTCGGGATCTTGGGCACGCACGCACACGCGCCCGGCGTGAGTTTTAAGCCACCAGGTCCGGGACGCGAACCGCAGTCAACTACATGGGAGTCCAGCGACATAGCCATTACGCTAACTGCTGGTTCCCAAGACTCATTCATTTTTAATGTGCAAATAGTTCATAACTTTTTACTGTATGGCTGTAGCACAGCTTGTTTGTTAGTCTGTTGATAATACTTGGGTTGATTCCAGTTTAGGTTATTAAAAATAATTTGCTACGAACATTTATGCATAAGCTTTTCTATTGATATATGTTTTTATTTCTCTTGAGTAAATATGTAGGTGTAGAATGGCTGGATCAATATAGTAGGTTGTATGTTTAACCTTCTAAGAAACTGTTTTCTAGTGTGGCTACATTAGGTTCCCATAGCTCCATATCCTGGCCAATTCTTGATATGGCCAAGCTTTTTAATTTTATTTGACAGAATATTATAACAAGAAACAACTGCCCTGGTGAAATTAATTTCCCTTCTTGTTATGTTATTTCTTTAAAATGCCACAGGAAGGGGCTGGCAGGTGTCGTGGTGGTTAAAAGTGTTGGACTCCCACGTGGCTGACCGAGATTTGAGTCCTAGATCTGGTGACTTCCTTTCTTACTTTCCCCTTCTGTCTCTCTCTGGTGAAATTGGAAAATAATAATAATAAATAAAAGTCAAAAATAATTCAAAAGAAATGCCACAAAAATATTTTGCGCATGAAAAGATTTTAGACAATTTCCTATTATTTACACTTACTATTTTTTTTAAGAGAGATTTTTTTGCTGTAAGGTACATGTACTTGCTGGAGAGACAAGAGAGACAGAACCACACTGTAGTCCCTTCTCTATTCTCCTCTTGGCATTTTGGGCATGCAAGCACGTGTGCCCTGCGTGTTTAAAGCCACTGGGTCCAGGACTTGAACCATGGTTGACTACGTGGGAGTCCAGTGACATAACCATACACCATCTGATGGTCCCTATTTACTCATATTTTTGATAGTACACTTGAATCTTAAACAACATGGGCTTAAACTGTTTACTTCTAGTTATATGTGGAGTATTTTTTTTTTTTCAGTAAATACATTGGAAAATACTGTACTGTAAAGGTATTTTATCTTGCTTATGTTTTTTTAATTTTTAAATATGGTTTCTGGTTTACATATAAACAGTGTATATCTTTGGGCTACATTGTGGTTTTTTTAAGGGATGAATGGGTGTATAATTATCAAATCAAGTATACACCCATTCATCTTCTCCCTAGCTTTATTGTAAGAATACAGTATGTAATATAGAATACACATACAACATGTTTGTTAATCAACTGTTTATGTTGTCAGTAAGACTTCTGGTCAACAAAAGGCTATTAGCAGTAAAGTTTGGGGAGAGTCCAAAGTTTTATGTGCAGTTTTGTCTGTGTAGGGGTAGTGCTCCTAACCCGTGCGTTGTTCAGTGGTCAGCTGTATTTGCTCACCAACGCTAATTTAACCAGTTTCTAAGAACCAATACGTCTGTTTCCTTTTTAACTTACATTTTCTTTTTTTTGTTGTTCTAGCGGCCCCTTTGTTGCTTTATGCAAACAGGCGGGACTTGCGATTGGTTGATGCTACAAATGGCAAAGAAAATGCTACGATTGTAGTTGGAGGCTTGGAAGATGCAGCTGCAGTGGACTTCGTGTTTGGTCATGGCTTGATATACTGGAGTGATGTCAGCGAAGAAGCCATTAAACGAACAGAATTTAACAAAACTGAGAGTGTACAGAATGTTGTCGTTTCTGGATTATTGTCCCCTGATGGACTGGCATGTGATTGGCTTGGAGAAAAATTATACTGGACAGATTCTGAAACTAATCGAATTGAAGTTTCTAATTTAGATGGATCTTTACGAAAAGTTTTATTTTGGCAAGAGTTGGATCAACCCAGAGCTATTGCCTTAGATCCTTCAAGTGGGTAAGTTTTTGTGTCACGTACCACGCTCATTGCGTCTCCTCCTCCTGGTTTCTTTCTGATGGCACATACTCCTTTTCACCGTTAAGTGAAAAAGATTAAAAGCAGGACTTTTAGACTTTGTCAAATAGACTTGGACATGGAGAGTTAGGTTGTGTTCTTGAAGGAAGGTCTTTCTATAAATAGTTTTGTGTTTTTGATAGCACTCACAGAATGACCATGTTTATGGGTGTTGGTTTTTCTTCTACATTTATTTTTTATTATTACTATTTTTTAAAGAATTATTTATTGAATTTTTAATTTATTCATTCATTTATTTTAGTTTGACCAGAGAGACAGAGAGAGAGAGAGAAGGAAACTGAGAAAGCAAGCCACCAGGTCCCGGGTTTGAACCATGGTTGGCCATGTGGGAGTGTCCAGCACCTTAACCACTATGCCACCTGCTGGTCCTTCTTCTATGTTTGTTTTTTGTAATTATAGTTAGAAGAGAGTGAAGAAATGATGATTTAAGAGCAGTATTTAATAGCTTTGAGACAAGATAATATCTTCTAGGTCTTATAACTTTTATCACATGCACATTTTAAGTGTTCTAATATGAAGTTACTTAATATGTCAGTTTGAATGAAAAGTAAAAGTTAAGTTTTTAAATAACTCACCCCTGGTTAACTAAATGTATATTTGCAGTGAAGGCCTGTTTTTTCACGAGAAGGGAAACTTACAGCTCTTGGTAAATCCCTTACAAAATGTGTGCTGTGGGCCAGCGGGTGGTGTAGTTGGTTAAGGTGCTGGACTCCCTCATTGCTGACTGTGGTTCAAGTCCTTGCAACTTGAAAATCACGTAGGGTGCATTTGCATGTGTACCCAAAATTCCGTGTGTGTTTTGCTAACAGAGTTCATGAATCTCAGGAGTGGTGAAATGTTTCTGAGGTTACTGCTTTGTAGAGCACACAGGATTTTGGTGCTTTCAGTGGTCATTAGGGAAGCATCTTTGGTGAAAAGATAAACAGTTCTCCTTGACAAGTTTAGTTTTTATCACTGTTAGGGTAATGATTGAAATTTAAATATCTGTTAAATGATTAGTATGTTCAGACTCTGTACTCTGGTTGGGGGGGCTGTCTATAAGAATTTACTGTCTTTCTTATATAAGGATAGAAAACTTGAGAGTGCTTTCTCTTTCACACCTTATCTAGTTGTGTTATATAGTGTATTATATAACAAAATGGGTACTGTGGGCCAGCAGATGGTGTAGTGGTTAAGGCGTTGGACTCCACATGGCTGACTGTGCTTCAAGTCCTGGATCTTGCAACTTGAAATCACGTGCATTTGCATGTGTACTTTAACACTTCCTCCTCTCCAGGAGGAGGACTACAGAATTGTTATGTTAAAGAATTACAAGGATCATAGAGCTCTTAAGAAGGGTGGATGGGGGCTGGCAGGTGGTGTGGTGGTTAAGGCACTGGACTCCCACTTGGATAACTATGGTTCAAGTTCTGGACCTGGAGGCTTGTTTTCTCACTTTCCCACTCACTTCCCCCTCCTCCTCTTTCTCTCTCTGATAGAGAGAGAAAAAACAATAATAATAAATAAAAAATAAAAATGATTTAAAAAAGATGGATTTATAAATAATTGGTTTACTAAAATTGTGGAACAGCATCTTGGGTATTTCTATGAGGAATAGTGATCATGTGATAGCTCATATTAAAGAGAACTAATTAGTCAACTTCAAAAAAATTGTTTAAGGCTGACAGATAACCTAGTATGTATTTATAATATACAGCATAATGTTTTGAAGTACATAAACATTGTGAAATGGTTAAACCTAGCTTAAATACATCACCTCATGTCATTATCATCTTTGTGGTGAGAGCACTTAATAGCCATTCCTCTTGTATTTTCAAGAATACAATGCCTGGGACCAGCAGATGGCATAATGTCACTGGACTCCTACGTAGTGGATTGCGGTTTGTGTCCTGTACCCAGTGTCTTAAAAAAAACTCATGTGGGAACCAGCAGTTAGCGTAATGGCTATGTCACTGGACTCCCACATAGTCAACCGCGGTTCGTGTCCCGGACCTGGTGGCTTAAAACTCATGCCGGGCGCGTGTGCGTGCGTGCCCAAGATCCCGAGAGGAGAATGGAGGAGAAGGGATTGCGGCGTGACCATCCCCTCTGGGGGGTGATTTCTCGCTTTCTGTCTCTATGTCTCTCTCTGTCTGGCGAGCGCACGCGCCCTACAGTGAAAATCTCTCCAAAAAAACCCAAAAAAACCAAAAAAAAAACAACTCACGCTGGGCACTTGTCGGTGTGTTCCCCTGGAAACTGGAGGAGCAGGGATTGTGGTGTGGCCACCCCCTGGGGGGGTGATTTCTCGCTTTCTCTCTCTTTGGCGAGCGCATGTACCCTATAGCAAAAATCTTTCTCTGAAAAAGAATAAAAAGAGAATACAATGCATCATCATTAACCAGAGTCATATGCTGCAAATAGACCTCCTGAATTCAGTCCCCCCCCCCCACTGTAATTATGTATCCCTTGACCAACATCTTCCTGCTCCTGCCTCTCTACTACTAGTCCAGACTGTGCTAACTACCATTCGACTCCCTACTTTCACTTCTCTATGTTTCATGTCAACTTTGTCTGTATTTCACGTGTGAGTGAGATTATGTAGTATTTGTCTTTCTGTGCCTGGCTTATTTTACTTAACATAATGTCCTCCAGATTCATGTATGTTGTCACAAATGGGAGGGTTTGCTTCTTTTTCCCTCTTTTTAATGGCTGAATAGTATTCCATTGTGATGTACATACTTAAAAGATTCATTCATCTGATTGTAGGCACTTAGGATGATTATGTTATTTTGCTACTGCAAATAATGCTGCAGAAAACAAGGAAGTGCAGATATATCTGACATACTGATTTCATTTCCTTTGGAAATATACCCTGTAATGGGATTGCTAGATCACATGATAGTTCTGTTTTTAATTTTTTGAGGAACCTTCATACTGTTTTTCCATAGTAGCTATACTAATTCATACCCGACCCACTGTTAGGAGTTCCCCTTTCTCTGCATTCTTGCCAACAATTGTTACTGTTTGTCTTTTTGTTAATAGCCATTCTAACTGGGGTACAGTGATGTCTCTGCAGACAACTCTTGGTTATTCAGGTTATAATCATTTAATGAGTAAACTAATCATTCCTAGGGCCAGTGGGTGGCGTGGTAGTGCCCTATAGCAAAAAATATAAAAACAAAACAAATTAATCATTTCTGTTTGTCTTCTAAAACTAATGAGACCTTCTGTGTAGCAGGTCTGTTAAGTATCTTAGGAAGTAAGTTTGCCAAATGATTATATTCGAGCTTTCTGTGGCTTTAATTTATCTACGTTAGCTTCTCGATATTGAATGTAAGGGGACCAGCAGGTGGCGTAGGAGTGAAGGCACTGGACTCCTGCTTGGCAAACCATGGTTTGAGTCCCAGACCTGGAGGCTTGAGACTCACATCAGTCGCGTGTGCATGTGTGCCTTTGTGTGCATGCATGTGTGACCAAGAATCCCAAGGAGGAGAGGGAATTGTAGCATAACCATCCCCTTTGCGGGGTGGTTTCTCACTTTCTCTCTGTCTTTCTGTCTCTCAGGTGAGTGAGTGCACATGCCCTATAGCAAAAATCTCACCCCTCTAAAAAAAATTGAATGCAAGAATTTACCAAAGATTAAACCAATATAAGATATTGGAAGAATCAAAAATGATGTGTTTTGAAGGTAAGACATTGTGTTATTTAGCTTCCAAAGGTAGCTTGGTGAAGAATAACTGTCTTTTTTTCTGAGGCCTAATGGTTTGGTCAAAACATTCAGTGAAATACCTTTCATTATTTTTTAAAATAATTATTTTATTTAACTTTATTTATTTATTTAAATTTGATCAGAGAGGGACAGAATGAGAGAGAGAATGAAAGAGAGAGAAGGAGAAAGAGTGCGGGATAGTGAGAAAGCAAGCCGCCAGGCCTGTGACTCAATCGCGTCGACCATGTGGGAGTCCATGCCACCTGCTGGTCCGCCAATCTTTCATTTTTTTGGTGTCCATTGTTAATGTTGGGGGGAAGAGAAGAAAGTGGGGGGTAGAAAGAGAACAAATGCAGATTTACCCTCTTCTCTCCTTAACAGTTTTTTTCCTAAAATTTCTTTTAGAATTTGGTAAGCTATTTTGTGTCCTATGGCTATTTAAAAAATGATAGGACTAGAAAACAAATAGGATCCAGCCAATGGTATATATTTGATTGTCGGCATAATAGGTACATTTAAAATTTTGTGTGTTTTAATTGCCAGAGGGCATGTGCACTTGTCAGAGACAGAAAGCACCCCCAGTGGGGTGTGGAATGCCATCATTTTTTTCCCTTTGTTTTCTCTATCTTGTAAGTAATTTTTCATGTTTATACACCTGGCATGCTTTTCAAGGGGCTGAGATTCAAACCACAGTTGGCCATGTAGGATCGGGCTCCCTATGCACAGGGTTAACTGCTGTTCCGGGACTAGCCCTAAAATTTTATTTTAAGTTGTGCATTTAAAAATACATTCTGTTGGGACTAGCAGGTGATGTCGTGGTTAAGGCGTTGGACTCTCATGTGGCCTTCCGTGGTTTGAGTCCCAGACCTACAACTTGAAAATTATGCTGGGAATGTGTGCATGGGTTTCCAGGGTCCCACGAGGAGAATGGAGGAGAAGGGATTGTGGCATGACCATCCACCCTCTGGGTGATTTCTCACTTTCTCTCTGTCTCTGGTGAGTGCACGTGCCCTATGGCAAAAATCTCTCTCTTAAAAACTTCTATCAAATGTCTTTTAGACATGATGATCTTAGATTTATCTCATGGATTGTGTTTTTTAGAAGAAGAGTAGTTATAGATAGAGTACATCACTTGTCAAACAGAAGAGATGATTTCCAGATTTGTATTTTTGGGTAAAAATTAAGTTTATTTTCTAGACAAAGTATATGAAAACAGTGCTGAGGAACAATA